ATATATATATATATATATATATATATATATATATATATATTAATTACTCACTGCATCTAAGAGTGCATCAACTAGAGTGATGCTATTCATAATGACAACAGCACTGCTGCGAGTTGCTTCAATTCTGAGCTCATTGCTGTTCTGCTTAATCCCGACAGGCCAAGGAAACATTCTTGAATATTCTTCCACATTGAGAATTTCTTTTCCAGAATCAGTAGTCCGAATCCAGAGTGGGTCAGCAGCTTGGCACATCTTTACTAGTTCATCCATTGAGGAAAGAGCCAGTTCCATTGCAATAGATTTTTCTTCTTCCAAGATAATTGGACCACCAGAAAACTGGGAATTGTTTTCAGGCATGAATGGAACAGGGACCATCTCGGTACTGCAATTCGCCATTGGCTCCTCGAACTTCCTTGAGAAATTAATGGACATGTCTAATTCCAACGAAGGAGGAAGAAGAGGAGTTCCTTGCATTGGCCCCCGACCATTATATTGTGAAACAAGACAGCACACACGCTCAAACTGTTCAACAATTGAAGAGCATAACTTGACTGTTATTACTGTATGAACAAAAGAAAATAACGAAATAAAATAGTCATTGTTAATTCAATTTCATTGAGCATTAAAGGATTAAACTCATATTAGTGTAATTTTACTTGTTCTACTTTATTTTATTTTTCAATTAACTAATTATACTAGCTATGCTCCCAGGATATAAACTCTTAAGCAAATAGGGAGGACCTCATCCGTTATTACAGTAATATTTAATTGCTGAATTATTGATAGGCCTTTGCTTTTTACCTCCTTAGGCTAGTGCTGCCAACGAGACATTAAATTGATCATTTACGATTTTCTATTTCTTTTTTATCATGTACTACTATTCATTCACTTGTTTATGTTAAAGAAAACAACATATTCTAGATATGCCGAATCGTTTCTGGTTCTTTTATCTTGATCACTTGGTTATTGATATTAATTTTGTGCAATTAACAAAAAATTAGGAATATTGTAAGTGCTGTAGACATGTTCTCTATGAACAACTTAATCATATTAAGAAAATTTCCTCAATTATATTAATAACAAAATAACCAAAAAATAAGAAAGAAATAATAGCGTATATAAAAAACTGAAAAACCTCTTCTTTGAGACGAGCATTTTCAAGGCGAAGTTGCTGTTCATCATAACCCATCTCTCCGAGCATGGCAGGACCTCCACAACTGGGGCACATAATACTGCGTAATGCTGCTTGCAGCCGATAATTCTCATTCTTTAAGTTGTCATTCTCAGCTCTAAGTATAACATTATCTGCTCGGTCTTGTTGAGCCTACATCATTAATTAGTTAATTAGTACTAGGATGAATTACAACAGAAGAAGAACAAAAAATTTCCCCAACAATTAATGAAGTCTTGTCCCTCAAATAGTGTTACCTCTTAACCACAGATGAATTCAGTGGGTGCAGAATTAGCATTATGTAAGCATTTTAAACTTTTTTTTTATTCTAACATTTGCATACATAAACACATAGAACCATTCCAAAGTTGCCTTCAATAATAACATCCCTCATAATTAATTCAAGACTTACTTACATACATACATACAGTCAGGCGAGCTAGTGTGTGAAATGCGGATTCTAATCCCTTTGGTCCTAACTCTTTATTTATCTTCAATAAATCTATTTAATATGTTAAAATGATTAATTTAAAATCCAATAATTTAAAAAGACTAGAAATCCGAACCCATACACTTTAAATTCTGCCTATAATAAAAAGTCATTCTTTTTTCATGTCCATAACCCTAAACGGGGTGCATTAAAGATGTGTCTCCTCATGGAAGTTCATTGTTGCAGAGGAGGGGGTTGACTGCGCACCCAACAACTAGGGCCAGACGCATATTAATGGAAGGCGTTGTCCATACAGTGAAAATGAAAGCAACCCCCGTAGTTAATGTAGTCACTCTCTCTACAGCTCTCATGGTGGTGGTGCAGTACTCTACACTCTTTCTTCACCATATTTGGTCTTAGCAATTTTTAACGTATGTAAATAAACACACACACACTCAACTTATGGGAAATCGTGCATCTGCCTCTCATGCATGAAGGTTTAATTTAATTTTACAGCTGGAAAAACATTAGTACGGTTTCCTCTTTACAGCGTAACACAAAATAGGAAAAAAAAAAGAATTTATATACAATGACACAGTAAATACAATTTAATCTAAGAAGTTGGACCAGTTGGGTAATGGATGCTAACATGCGCACCTTCATTTGGGTTCGTCGGTTTTGAAACCAAAATTTGACTTGACGTGGTTTTAGGCCAAGGTCTTGGCTTAGTTTGAGCCTTTGCTTGTCATCTGGATGTGGGCATTCCTTAAATAACCTAAATATTAGGTAACTTTGTTAGAAAATTCAAAATAATAAATAAAAAAAAGTTCCTCTAATCAAGATCTTGAAGGGAAAAGAAACATTAAAGAAAATTGGTTCCTTACGCCTCCATTTCTTGGATCTGGCGAGCAGTGTGCCGATGATAACGCTTTTTTTTGCCTGGTTGTTGTTGCTGTTGTTGTTGTTGCTCAGTTTCTAGTTCATTTCCAGACATTCCTTCGATATGTTCACTTCCAGAACCACTATCCATTTCTTCTTTGCTTTTGAATAGTCCATTTTCTTCTTTCTAAAAAGACACAAAAGTAAAATGAAAATCATGCATGCAAGTGAAGGGAAAAATGAAAGATAAAAGACAGATCGAGGAACGTACAGGAATAATATTGGGAGGAAAAATATTGAAAGGCAAGTTATTTCCTCCCATGGCCATGAAGTTGAAATTAGGGTTCTGAATGGGGGAAGAATAGAGTGAATCTGAAGATACAGCATTCCCTCCCATCCCCATGGATGAAAATAGTTGGCAATCACCAAACATCTTTCCTACTTAATTCCACAGGATTTACAAAAGAAGAATCTCTTTTAGCCAAGGGTTTAGGGACCTGCAACACAAAAAGACAAAAAAAGCATAGTATATGATAAATTTAGAATCGAGGGCTAACACATGAAATATAAACAAAACAAAGAAAGCATGAGAAACACACCATTGAAGCTAAAGGGAAGAAATATCCTTTAGATGAGACTTATTTTCTCTAAAACTAACAAAGATAACTAAGGCTAGACAAAAATATGGAGGTGATGTTTTCTACACATAAATAGGAAAACTGAGACAAGAAGACTACATTTCAAAGTATTTGACTCCACCCTTCAAAAAGATAAAGAAATGGTCAGCTCCTGGGTCTCAAAAACCTCCCATTAAAGCTCAAACCGAGTATTAAATTCGAATACATAAAAAAAAAAAAAATTAAACAAAATGTGTAGGTAAACGAAGAGAATTGAATACGCAAAATTAATTTCCTATGTAATTAATGAAATGTGTGAGAGAAAAAAGAAACAAAGGAAACGTACTAATAAATATTTAGTACCTGTGTCGGTGTGTTTTTCCAAAGCCAAATTCTTCTTCTTCTTTATCTTTAGCTCTTTTCTTTCTTCATCTACCACCAAACCCTTCTGCAGTTTGGTTGTGTAGTTTTTTCTTATCTTTCAGTCTTTATGTATAGTAAAATCTTGGGATTTTTTTAAATTTTTTTTAAATTTTGCTTTTTCCGTTTTATAAGGGCGGGGGTGAGTGTGTGGGTTAGATCNTTTCACCAAATTTTTTGACTAAGACTGATTCAGTCTCCTGCTTAGTCAGGTCGTTGCCCTTTACACCTGTTGTAAATGCAGTAACATGGTCTCGTGGGTTTGTTGTTCCATCGTACTTTGGTATATCAGGCATTTTGAACTTCTTTGGAATTGGGAGAGGAGCAGCACTTGGCTTCCAAGGCTGTTGAGAATACTTATCCATATCTACCCCTTTGATCACGGGCGGCACCCCAGGTATCTGCTCTATGCAGTCACTTTGCTCCTTGAGTTGTTTCTGCAATGTTAGTACTAAATTCTGTAAATTAGAATTACCTGGTTCTCCCTCCTGTGATTCGCTGGGGGTTCCACCACTACCTGAATTAACGAGTCCGAAACGAGGGTTCTCTAGAGTGTTGTTATTTGGTGTGGGTGTAGGTGGTGCAGTAGGTAAGTGGCTAACGAAAGCCTGAAGAGCTTTATTAACTTGAGAGGCAATAAGTTTTTGTAAAGCCTCGTCCATAGTTTCAACATTTTCGAATTGAGCTTGTCCATCTGTATGAGACCCCTCAGGAGTGCCTTCACGAGACCGTCGTGGAGAACCTTGTGGAGAAGGAACTAATGCGTTATTAACCTGCAGATCTCCCTGAAGTTGCTGATTTGTTTGATTTTCTTGGTTTCCTTGAATGTTATCATTGTTGTTTGCCATAGTTGATGTAACAAGGAAAGTTAAGCAAAGAGGAAATAGATTATCAGATTCCCAGTAATGGAACCAATTTGTTTAACCAAAAAATAGAATTTTAGTCAAAGCTAGAATATAGAAGAACTCGGGTTACTGATAATCAAAGAAATGAATAAAAGGAAATAATTCTGAGTAGCAATATAATAATCAAGAAAAACAAATGATGCCAATGTATATTTCAATAGCTTTTTTGTGTGTCCTACAATGATCATATATCTCCTTTTTATAAGTACCTTTGAGAATGTACGTTATGCCCAAATCATAATGAGGCTATTATGAATAACTAAAGACATTGAATGCTACGTTACACAATCATTACATTGAATATATATATATATATTCCTTAACGGACTCAGCATTTAATACCCATTAAATGATGTATCTGCAAGCGTTTTTATAACCAGATTCATTCCTTCTGATGCCCGGATATAAATGATTTAAATAGGTACGGTCGCCGTGCTACTTATCTGATGTCTCGTGCCTCTTCCTTCTTCTTTGCTTGTGTCTGTTTTACAACTCTTGAATCATGCCTAATTGTGATTCATTGACCATTTGACCAATCCACGTGTCCTGACACGTCACCATATATATAAAATACAATTTTCTCCAATACAGATAGTTCCCTCACTTCCCATTTATTCATCAGTTTGAATACTTGGGAAGTGGAATTCATTAAAAAGAGAATTTTTGTCACCATTAATGCTCTGATAGAATCGACGTTTCAATTGTCACTTCCATTTAATGCATTAGACACGTGTCATCCTCTTATTGGTTCTACAGTTTTGCAGCACTTTCTTAGGCTTTCTTTTCGGCTTCCCTATTCGCGAAGTGTCAGTTATCATTATTATAGCTCTTCCATCATTGTACTTTTTCCTTTTGCCGGTCACCCATTAGTATAAATATAACTTCTTTACTTGTCTTTTACCATATAAAGCGTTTCAAACACTTTAATTCTTCAAAAACCTCTTATTCTCTTCTGCTCTACTTCAATCTTGTTTGTCATGGCTTCACCAAACCCTAACCCTAAGAGAACCCCCATTTTAGATAACTTCCCCCAATGCTCCTGTTAGGCATAGAAGAGGGGGTAGACTCCGTAGCTTGGGGTCTGCTCGTGGTGGTAGCACATCCACTCCTTCTTCTAGCTCGGGTCCCTCTTCTAGGACTAGAGGTTCCCTTTCTCAGAGATCTTCTTCTATGAATAAAGAATCCTCTGAGCCCCTTCGTGAGCCTCTAGTTGAAGGAATAGTCCCAACAGAAATTTCTTTTCACCATGATAGAGAATCTCTCACGACCCAAGTTGCCTCTTTAGATCGTGCTGATGTTTTTCCCACTCAAATCACAGATATTTTAACTCCCATAATTCGTAAGGATTGTTACTGGAGTGACGATTTTCCAATTATCATTCCTAACCCAAATCAAAGGATCACTTCTTACTTAATCGGATTCTCTTTTGTTTACACATACCCTTTCACTCTAGGGTTTAAACCGGCCATTGACCCGGTCATTCTAGACTTTTACCATTTTTTCAACGTGTGTTTGGGTCAAATTGGTCCAATTGTTTGGAGGGTTGTCGCCTGCTTGAGGCACCTCACTAACCTGGCGGATGTTGAATTTACTTTTCCCTACCTAATTCATCTCTATTCCCCTAGGCTTTTTCGCAACGGCGTGTTTACCCTAGCAGCCAGGAGCAAGAGGGTTTTAGTGAGCACCGAGGACGATAAAGACCGTGGCTGGTATGCTCGGTTTGTTGCTGCTCCCACTGCTGGTTTGGTGGGTGAAAATAATGTTCCCTTCCCTGAGAAGTGAAACTTTGCACGTAAGTGTTAAATCTTCCTCGTGCCTTTTCCTTTCAAACTTTATCAACTTTTCTAATGTCGCTTCTTTTTCTTTTATCAGCAACCATGGGTGTTGTGGAGACTGTTCCCAACATCCGTGGTTGGGTAGGAAAATTGTTGAAGACCGCTCCAATGGAGGGTAGGTCGTGAAAAAACCTTTCCAACCGTTACGGTTGGAAAGTAAAACTCATAGTAAGAGTTTCTATTTACTTTGTCTGTATATAATATTTCTTTGTTCTAACTTATATCCTTCTTTTTATTCAGGTATTTGTCTGTTTCGAGGTAGTCTACCCGGCACGAGGGCA